TAGTCTCCCGAAGTCGATGACGGTGTAAATGCGCCATGAGCGTTGATTTGGTTGCTACAAAATTTGTAAAAAACACACCTAAGATGACATAATGCCAACCTTGAAACAGCAGATACTATAGTGAAGTCTAGTAATACAGAATAAAACACTACTCTTGATTGGAGTCAATAAACTTTAATCACATTATATACTTGTATTTTTTTATACAAAAACATTTTCCTAGAAATAAGTCCTTACTTAGACATAAAATGCATTTATTAAGATCATAAGTGCACATAAACGTAATTTGTTATATACATTAATAAGGGCCTTTGCACACAAACTACTATCGGCTGATTCTTAATTTGATGACTATTGCTAAGTTGCACCTAATACTAACTGTTTAGAGTTGAATGTGTGCAGTGCACCTTGTAGATAGCAAGGATGTTACATGCAGGCAAATAATCTAAGTACACCAAAATTTAAAACAATAAATTGGCCTCATAATAATTACATTACAATTAAAGTTCATCAAATTCATAACATATAAACTCACAGGCAAAATACATCATGCAGCTAAACAAATTTACCAACTAGTTTTTATTCACATCTTCATTCAGTTTTAGTCTAAAAGTTATGTATTTTGTGCATGAAATAAGTTCTTTACAAAATATTTATTTCTTTGAACACCCTATCTCCAACTTATTTACTTTGCACTAGGTCCTTTATGTTGGCTGCCCTATTTTATTGCCCGTGAGTGTACTTAGTAAGTATAAGCTGCAAAATTATTATTAATCTAATAAATTATTCTCAGCTTTGGTCAGGCATTATTGTTTGTGTGAAAGGCTGGCTGGAGGCAGAGAAGTTGCCAGAGTTGGCAATAACTTTTTTCTTCAAAGCTTGTCTTTTGGCTGCATATGCCGACATTCTTGCCAGTCTTGCTTGCCTCTGTTCAGGTGTTTCTGCTGCAAGTCTTTTAGCTGCATATTCGGACATACGTGCCAAGCGCTTGGCTCTCTGCTCGCTTGTTTCTCGTGCCAGTCTTTTTGCGGCGTAGTCGGACATGCGTTTAAGACGCACAGCTCGCTGCTCGGGCGTCTCGTTGGCTAATCGATGCGCAGCGTACGCAGACATCTTCGCCAGTCGCGCAGACCTTTCCTCCGTCGACTCACTCCTTATTCCCAATCCCGATCCCCGTCGTCGCCTCCGCTGCGTACTTTCAATGAGCAGCGGATCAAGCTCCTGTGTCATAGTCTCAGCGTCATCTTTCATGTAATCCAACTCGCCACACGGTTCTTGCTCTGTCTTGATGTTACCGGGTCTTTGTTGCTCGTAGTTGTAGCTTGAAGCGCACCGCGCGAATTCCGCGTCGTTTTGCTCAGATTTGATAGTGGAGGTCCATTGGTCATCCGACTTCGATATCACCAACTTGTTCCAGGAACAATTAGACGCCGTAAACTCACCCATATTGATTGTTTAATGACAGCGTTATCCGAAGAACCATATTTTATTTATGCAAATAGAATACACACTTTCTTTGAGAAATAAAAGTTGATAAAAATAAAGTATATTGACCATTGATTTTTTTTTCTCTTCCGACATTGATCAAAATTGTTCCACTTAATAATTTTGACAGCAGGACGGCTTGTTAGTAAAACTTCATTCGAAAGACAAGGATAGCTTATTCCCCTTCGTCGCTTTATGCAAACATCTAAATGGAATGTATTTCTGTAGTTCCAATACACGCGCTCATGTTGGGTCATTGAAAAGTGTCCATTTTTTTAAATTTTTTTTTTCTCAAAAATGAATATTTTTCTTCATATTCTTCCAATCCAAGTTTTTTTTCTTCTCTTTACTTTTCGCAGTAAATGTTTTAGCCACTTGTGTTTTGATTAACTTATTTTTAACTCTAGAATGCCTCCATTGAATTTCACAATAATTTTGCGAATGTCCGGGTTGCAAAATGACTACGTTGGCTAAATAAATAATATAAAAATTATGGCGTACACGCCAATAATGTCCGTTTTTCAAGGTTTTTCCTGCAATTTGTGCACAGTCAGTTGACAGCTGTCTGATGTTGAATACATTGAGTGTAGAAATCGGAAAAAATTCAAGTACTGGAAACTATTCCGGAAAATTTCCTGAAAATTTTGTGAAGTATAGTTTTGAAGGCTCATACTACGCTTCGTTTAGAAATATCTTTAGAAGTTTTATTTAGCGTGAATTATAAAATATACAGTACAAATAAACAGTATAAATATACAGCCACCTAGAAAATGACGAGTTTTCACAACAGCGAGTGTTTTTCTTGGCTCCATTGTTTTCGTTCAGTGACTTCAACTTTTAACTGGTGTCAATGCCAAATGTGGAAAATTACAGGAAAAATAATATATTTTTAATTAATTTATAAAATATTTATTTATCTGGTATGATTTTTTCAAAATGGAATTTTGTCCATGACCCAACACTAATTTTATCTAGTCGAGGACGTAATGATCACGCGTGAATAGCGCTGGTCATGGAAAAATTTCCATTTTTAAAAATTTTCAATTTTTTTGGTAATTTTCCATTAATACGTTGACACCTGTCAAAAGTTGAAATTACTGAATGAAAACGATGGAGCTACTAAAAAGGTTTTTTTTTTCCGTTGTTTATTTTAAGTTTATTTTATAATTTTCATGCATAAATAAAACTTCAAAAGATATTTCTAAACGTTGAACATAATATGAGCATTCGAAATTATATTTTTCCAATTTTTTAAATATTTCTTCCGGGAATTTTTCCGGAATGTTTCCACTATTTGACATTTTTCGGTAAATTACCCAAAAGTAGATAGAATATAAAACTAGAATCCGCAGCCAAAAATGAATGTCTGACTCCGAGCGGCTGAGTTGTCAAAAAGTTGGCATTTGTTCCATCTGTTATTTAGCGAAATCTATTTTCATTAGTAGTACGACGATAGTTTTAACGCAAAGTGAGTTTTATAATTTAACAATTACATTGCCATACATCTTTTGCCAATAGAGGTGGTTTGCAACTTTATTTTCATTGTTAAATCTAGTGTAATGTCGTTGTAAGAGTCCGTGCGATTATTGCAACAATATGAGATGATTCCTGTAGATATTTCGCGTTTGTTGTTAGTTTTTGTGTGTATTGAGTGTATACGTTATGGTTTGTAGGTGGTTGTAAGCGCTGTGTGGTGTAAGGAGCGAGTTATGTGGTGACATAATGGTGTAATACTTCGGTAATTTTACACGACCTACGCTATCGACTATGATGGATGAGATCACGGATTCGCCCGTGAAGAGCCCGATGGAGGCGGGAGAGGCTTTTGGAGATAGTGAAACAGATTATTCTAGTATCAGAGGGAAGGTAAGCGCGCGTCTCGGTTTTGTTTACCAACATATCGTTCCCGCTAAAAACATCCGCCCACGCGCCTAACTTTGCTTTAATTTCAAAGATTTAACGAATTAGCACTGTATTTTAATGAAGTGTAACTTAATGTAAAGTCTTTTCTACCTACAGATTTGAATTTATTAAAGTTTTCTTTGTCATTAAATTTTCCAAATTATGGTTTGAATATATATATTTTATTTTAATAAGAGACGTACACATCTACCTATCATTAAGCTAATTACCCATAAAATGTATCCAAATTCAAGACCCAAAATTAGGATCTTAACAAAATAGGCACCTTGGCCTTGAGTTGCAGATACCAGTCCGTTACACCAAGTACCAAGTTAGGATCTTAAATAAAATTAAAGTTAAAGTTATAATCAAGTAAAACCACATAAGTAACTATATTAAAAATATCATTGTTGGCGCAAATCCTACCTGCAAGGTTCCAGAAAATAAAGAAAAGAAAAATAAGTAATGAGTAATTGCATATAAACCTTGTGTAAGGAAATGCAATTTTAAGCATTCTGATGTAATACATAAATTATGATAAATGATAAGTTTTATGTTATAAACCTTATTAAATTAATTACCTTGATTGGGAATTCATATTTTACAGAAATATATTTGTTTTTACTTTGTAACAAGGGTCTATATAAATATCAAAGGTACCAGAAAAACAGGAAGTAGAAAAGTAACTCATGAGTAATTGTGTTTAAATCTTATGCAAGGAAGTGCAATACTAAGCATGCTGATGTAATAATACATAAGTAATAATAAATGAAATCTTATCTTATAAACCTTGTTGAGTTAATTATTACTCATTATTGATAAATAATATTTTAAAGAAACATGTTTGCTTTTGCATTGTAAGAAAAGTCTGCATAAATATCAATCAAAAAGAAAAATCGGAAATAGAAATCCAATTTTTTTATCTTTATCATGTAATATTTGCTTTTTTAAAAAAACAAACCAACATTTTGGACTCTATGCGGGTTTCATTGTCATTGCTGACTTTTGAATTTTTTTTTAAATAATGGCGTTAAATTGTGAACAGTGGAGAAAATCATTTGCCTTGCAGTGGGATAGTAACAGCTGAAAAATGAAATGAATTAATTTCTTACAATATTACCTAATTAACATTGTTAGGGAATGTATTTTCGCCCTTGATTTAACATCAGCAAATATTGTTTATTACTTACTGAGATTATAGTAATAATTGTATTTTGATAAGCCATTTTGACGGCTTGTATATTTCTTCAATTTATATTGAGAAAAATTTATAATAAAACCTCAATAATGTTTTATTTAATGGACTTCTAACATCAAATGTATAAAGAAATTATGGTTGGCCAATTGGTTTTTTTATGCCTATTAAGCCTCTTAAGGCTTCATAAGAAATTAAGCAATTGTAAGATATTAAACATCTTGTGACCATTATTCTGATACCTCCCAAGTAAATTGTTGCAAGCCACAAAAAAGCATTTTTTCTTTTGGACTTAAATATATCCTTTTTTAATGTTTGTTTTAGTTTCCATGTTTGAAATTTAACAAAACACAAAGTGATTTGATTGCTTACAAATATGGAACCTATACAAAAAAGGATATATTTAACTTATAAAGCAGTGCAATTTTGTGAATTACAACCATTGACTTACAAATAAATGTACGACGGGTTTAATACAAAAACCACTAAAAAAATGTCCCAAGTCAACCTATTTAAACGTAGTGACATGTAAAGGAATATGAAAAGGCTAAAACATTGAATTTAAATTGTAATGTCATCACAGTACTGTCTAATTTTGTTTGCTTCGCTGTCAGTCGAACAAACGAAGACTAGCTTGAATGACGCTCTGTATACGGTTTTAACGCCCTATAAGTTCGGACACTTTTTAGCGCGGACCCGACGTCCATATAATTGTAAGTCAATGATTACAACAATGTAAATTGTAAAAATAAAACACATGTTTATGATAGTTACAAAATAATTAATGATAAAAAAAAAATTAAAAATACTTTAATATCAGCAATTAAAAAAAGAACGAACCTTGTGTAGTAGGTGGGTTGCCTTTATATATTTTTCAAATGAGCAAATTTGCTTTGATTTGCCAGGCTTAGTTTTTAATTGCATTCAGCAGTCTGACACACTGCACCTCTGATGCACGATGCACAATGAAAAACAATGCATGAGCAGTACATACGCACAACTAAAAGGTATGGGGGACAAGTCTTACTTGCTACTACACGTGTGCCCTGTTTTGTCAAAGCTGTATATTTTGAAGTATTTTAGGAACATCTGGTCACGAAGCTTAAAAGCGGAACTGTCATATTATCGTAATGTATGGTCACATTAGACATGCCGCAACTACAATGACATATGTTCTTATTTTGATTTGTTTTCATAAAGCTTAAGGGTCATTGCAGAGAAAATAACACTGCGGTTCAAAAAAATAAATTACACAATTTGGTTTTAATTGTACGACTAGAATATGCCCAATAAATCAAATCATTAGGAATAAATGAGATTCTTCGGATATTGTACAATTATTGTATTTTTTGTCTTCATTAACGCAGCCAGAGTGCTGTCGTCTATAGTGAAGCATTTTTTCTTATAATGTTAACAACAATTTTCGCGGTTATTTGTGCGTCTTTCAAAAAAAGTTATTACTGTCGAAGAAAGTACAATTTATGAATTTTAAAATAGTGATAAGTATTTGCATGGAAGTATATATGGTGAGGAGTTATTAAAGTTTCAATAAATACTAATTTCAAATCCCACCTCTCACAATGAAACATATATATTTTTATTTTAACCAATAAATATGCAATCTATTGGCGTTTAAAACCTTTTACCTTTTGTAAAAGTAACAATTAGACTAAGGGTCATTATTTTGGCTTGGTTAGTCATTGTGCACGTAAATAGAATTGTCAATATTAAGATTTGAAATTGTGACCCACCCGTCACAACGATGGGTGAGACACACTTCTGAACGTTTTTTCTTTGAATAAATGTTTGTATTTTTATGGCTTCGAGTTTTTACGATGTATGCTAGGTGTAACAGTTGCTTTAATTTCGGAGTTTAACATTTATGTGTTAAATTGTGACGATTGGAACACCATTTTGTGACAGGTGGGACAAGTTACATTTGAATACATAGAATTTTAAAAAATACACTGTTTATATGTAGATCCATCATTTGCAAGCAAATTTTTTATAATTCTTCTCATAATTTAGACATTAAAAAAATTAATTTAGACACATAAAAAAAGACAATTAAAAAGTGACAACATTTTTCCTGATGATTTTTAGTATCAGGAAATTCATGAAAAGTCTGTCTCCACTAGTTTTAACTATATATTCAAGCAAAACTTCTAAAATTCGATATATTTTGATGTGATACATAATCTTCAAGGATATAGCTGGAATTTTCAAATTTATTAACGCATTTTACATGCGTGACTTTGATTTCAAGTCATCGTAGATAGTGCTTCAAGAAAAATTGTAGGATTAGGTACTTTATCAGTTCTTTAATTCTGTTTTTTTTTATGCTAAAATGTCTTAATAATACAAATATTATAAAATATTTGCTAACTAACGATGGATCTCATATTAAACAGTGTAATTTTATTAATTCTGTGTATTCAATTGTAACTCATCCCACCTGTCACAAAACGATGTCCAACCATGACAACTTATTTATTTATTTCCTTATAATTTATCAAAGTTATTAATTAAGTGTATACCTAAATTAGAACTTTAACATTCAAGTTATCTCAAATGATAAACTTGCTGAACAAAATATTACTAGTTTGTTTTGATCTTGGCAATGAAGCCATCAACTCAAATAGGCGGGTGTCGTGAGTGTCCCACTCGTCACACTTAGAAAATTAAAAGTTTTTAGTATAATTAATGTCATAAATGGTGTCGTGACGGTTGGTAGCCAGTGGTGAGCACGTGTAGTATTAAAAATCGTTGAAGTTATAGTTTAAAAAATCATTACAATTTTGCTGTTTTCTCTGTTGACGGTTATCTGCCCCCAACAAATTGGTAAGCAGGGTTAGTACAAATCTTATTAGTGCTGTGACCGAAGAGGAGCCCCCTGATGGGGGCGGCCTCGGACTCTCACTTGCTTGGGATGACCCATCCCAACCACTCTTCTCAGCACCTCAAAGCATGGACACGGAAACATTAGGCTCCAAGAAGCGTCCTGCCCCCAGCCACTTACCAGACAAAGACTCTGCTAAAAAAAGTGTCCGTCCATCCGCTTCGAAATTTGATGGCGACTCCGACCTGGCATACTCCTCGCAGGACGTAGGACCCTTCATAGTCCACATCTCGCGTAAGGAGTCTGACCCAGCATCGGGTTTCTCTATTCGGGTTCTCAAATTGGCCAGTTGCTACATAAGCTTGGCACAAAAGGAAATGTTGACGGAGGTATTAAACCTCTAGGTCGTAATAAAATTGCAGTTGAATTTAAATCAGCACAAGAAGCGAACACTTTTTTGGCAAAAACATTCGACGACAACTTCCTGAGACAGATCCCTAAATTTCACGTCTGCCGTATGGGAGTCCTGCGGGGCGTCCCTACGGACTGGTCTTTAGAAGAATTGTTTTCCGGTTTATCCTTCTCGAGTAATTGCGGCTCTGTTATAAAACTTAGGCGACCGAGTAGAAAAGTTAGCCTAAACGATACTACGCAATGGATTCCCACTACAACAGTAGTTATGACTGTCCAGGGTCAACGCTTACCTGAGAAAGTCTATTGTTTCCATACCTCAGTAGCCGTCGAAATCTACAAACTACCAACTATTCAGTGCAGGAAATGCTGCCGATTCGGCCATATAACAGACCCAGGTGTTACAGATGCGCTCAAGCACACTCCGGCGAAGCTTGTACTATTCCTGATGACGAATCCTCTTGCTTATTATGCAGAGGCTCCCACAGGGCTACTGGTAGCATCTGCCCAGAGCACGCT